GAGAATCGCTTGCACCCAAGAGACAGAGGTTGCGGTGAGCCGAGATCATGCCACTGCACTCCAGCCTGGGCAACAGAGCGAGAGTCCATCTCAAAAAAAAAAAAGATTTCTAGGCTGGGCGTGGTGGCTCACGCCTATAATCTCAGTACTTTGGGAGGCCAAGGTGGGAGGATCTTGAGCCCAGGAGTTCAAGACCAGCCCGGACAATATGGCAAGACCCCATCTCTACAAAAATACAAAAATTAGTTGGGTGTAGTGGTGCACACCTGTAGTCCCAGCTACTCCAGAGGCGAGGGTGGGAGGATTTTTTGAGCCTGGGAGGCAGATGCTGCAGTGAGCCGAGCTGCAGTGAGCCGAGATAGTGCCATGCACTCCAGCCCAGGTGACAGAGCGAGGGACACTGTCTGAAGAAAAAAGAAAGTTTCCAGGGCATACCTCCACCTCTAGTATTGCTTATTAATTTACTTGTAAGCTATAGCGGGCTACCGTCCGGAAATGTACGCTGTGTATCCCACATCAATAGGAGCTCTAATGTTCCCTCCTGTGGGTCACCTTTCTCACCACCTGGGGTAGGCACAGCCTGTGTTGGAGCTGATTGCTTCAGTGTTAGAATCAGTTCCAGAATAATTTAAGGGCTTCCTCTCTCTCTTTTTTTTTTCGGAGACTGAGTCTCTGTTGCCCAGGCTGGAGTGCAGTGGCACGATCTCCGCTTACTGCAACCTCTGCCTCCCAGGTTCAAGCAATTCTGCTTCAGCCTCCCAAGTAGCTGGGATTACAGGCACGTGCTACTGTGCCCAGATAATTTTTGTATTTTTAGTAGAGACGGGTTTCACCATACTGGCCAAGCTGGTCTTGAACTCCTGACCTTGTGATCCGCCTGCCTCGGCCTTTCAAAGTGCTGGAATTGCAAGTGTGAGCCATGGAGCCTGGCCTGGGCTGTTTTTTTTGTTTGTTTGTTTGACACAGGGTTTCATGTGTTGCCATGCTGGAGTGCAGTGGCGTGACCTCAGCTCACTACCACCTCCACCTCCCAGGTTGAACTGATCATCCCGTCTCACTCTCCCGAGTAGCTGGGATTACAGGCATGTGCCAGCACGCTCGGCTAATTTTTGTATTTTTGGTAGAGACAGGGTTTTGCCACATTGCTCAGGCTGGTCCAAAACTCCTGAGCTCAAGTGATTTGTACACCTTAGTTTCCCAAAGTACTGATGTCAGGCGTGAGCCACTGCTCCTGGCCAAGTGCTGGTGTTTTTTGTTAAGAGAAAATGGCACATGTGTTACCTATCTTCTAAGGACATGGAGTGTCGAGAGAATCCTTAGTGATCCAGCCTATCAAGGCTCCCTGATCCTACAGATGAAACTAAGGCCCAGGGAAGTCAAACAAATCCTCTGAGGGCTAAAGAAGTAAGGTTTAGGCCGGGCGCGGTGGCTCAAGCCTGTAATCCCAGCACTTTGGGAGGCCGAGGCGGGTGGATCACGAGGTCAAGAGATCGAGACCATCCTGGTCAACATGGTGAAACCCCGTCTCTACTAAAAATACAAAAAATTAGCTGGGCATGGTGGCACGTGCCTGTAATCCCGGCTACTCAGGAGGCTGAGGCAGGAGAATTGCCTGAACCCAGGAGGCGGAGGTTGCGGTGAGCCGAGATCGCGCCATTGCACTCCAGCCTGGGTAACAAGAGCGAAACTCCGTCTCAAAAAAAAAAAAAAAAAAAAAAAAGAAGTAAGGTTTATGGCAGATCTGGAGCTAAAGCTTGTGTTTCCTGATGTTCTTCATGCTGTACTCATTCCCTGGGCTTCCTTCTCTCGCCATTGACCTGCTTGCTCCCTCCCTGGTAAGCCACTCTGTGAAACAGCCATTGAACCAGTCAAGAACCACTCTAGGCCAGGCACAGTGGCTCACGTCTGTTATCCCAGCACTTTGGGAGGTGGAGGCTGGAAAATTGCTTGAGCCCAGGAATTCAAGATCTGCCTGGGCAACATAGTAAAATCCCATCTCTACTAAAATTACAAAAATTAGCCGGGTGTGGTAGAGCAGGCCAGTAGTCCCAGCCACCCTGGAGGCTGCGATACCAGAATGGCTTGAACCTGTGAGGCAGAAGCTACAGTGATCCGAGATTGTGCCACTGCTTTCAAGCCTGAGCAAAAGAGCGAGACCCTAGAAAAAGGAGGCTGGGCGTGTGACTCACGCCTGTAATTCCAGCACTTTGGGAGGCCAAAGCAGGTGGATCACCTGAGGTCGGGAGCTTGAGACCGGCCTCACCAACATGGAGAAACCTTGTCTCTACTAAAAATACAAAGTTAGCTGGGTGTGGTCACACACGCCTGTAATCCCAGCTCCTCGGGAAGCTGAAGTAGGAGAATCGCTTGAACCTGGGAGGCGGAGGTTGCAGTGAGCCAAGATTGCACCATTGCACTCCAGCCTGGGCAACAAGAGCAAAACTCCATCAAAAAAAAAAAAAAGGAAAAAGGATTTGACCGTCAGTGAGCATGTTGGCTCTCGCCTGTAATCCCAGCACTTTGAGAGGCCAAGGCGGGTGGATCACCTGAGGTCAGGAGTTCAAGCCTAGCCTGGCAAACATGGTGAAACCCCATCTTTACTAAAAATACAACAATTAGCTGGGTGTAGTGTTGCACGCCTGTAATTCCAGCTACTTGGGAGGCTGGGGCAGGAGAATTGCTTGAACCTGGGAGGCGGAGGTTGCAGTGAGCCAAGATCGTGCCACTGCACTCCAGCCTGGGTAACAAGAGCGAAACTCCGTCTCAAAAAAAAAAAAAGAAAAAAAAATCTTTTGACAAAGTCCAACGACTTTACATATTCAAAATATTCAACAAACTAAGAATAGAAGGGAACTTCCAGGGCTGGGCATGGTGGCTCACGCCTGTAATCCCAGCACTTTGGGAGGCTGAGGCAGGCAGATCACTTGTGGTCAGGAGTTCGAGACCAGCGTAGCCAACATAGTGAAACCCCATCTCTACTAAAAATACCAAAAAAAAAAAAAAAACCCAAAAAATTATCCAGGCTTGGTGGCGGGCACCTGTAATCTCAGTTACTTGGGAGGCAGAGGCAGGAGAATCTCTTGAACCCAGGAGGCGGAGGCTGCAGTGAGCTGAGATTGTGCCACACTACACTCCAGCCTGGCAACAGAGTGAGACTCTGTCTCAAAAAAAAAAAAAAAGAAGAGCCGGGCGCGGTGGCTCAAGCCTGTAATCCCAGCACTTTGGGAGGCTGAGGCGGGTGGATCACGAGGTCAAGAGATCGAGACCATCCTGGTCAACATGGTGAAACCCCGTCTCTACTAAAAATACAAAAAATTAGCTGGGATTACAGGCACGTGCCACCATGCCCAGCTAATTTTTTG